TGTGGATTAACATTATCTAATATTTAATAGGTCTCCAAATTTGTTACCTACTTTAAGCTTTCATTACTACTTATATCATTTATTTGTCCTGTTTCTATTGAATGAATACAATATATTGTACAGATATTCACTTTAATGTAATTAATAAATTAAAGTTTAAGTATTAGACATTGGAGAGAATTTGCAAGGATATTTATTATTTACAGTTTTTTATTTCCCTAAACAATGCTTTTCAATTGAAGATTTTGTAATTAAGTACAGTATATTTTTTCTTAAATAACATATTGTTGTACAAAAAGTCTCAGACATTAATACATACAATTCAGAAATAATTTCTACAATTGTTAAATAATTTCTACAATTGGATATATCAAATTGGAAATAACTTTTTTCTGTATGCACAGAAAAAGGGTTGAATGGCTTGGTTCCAGATGATAATGTATATACGATAAGTACATTGCCTCTTAATACCAGCAGAGAATGAATTTGCTCAGTAACAGCCTATTAATTAAGTTTAGTAATGACTGTTTATAAGACAGAAATATTTGTACTGGAGACAGAAACAGTTGGCACAGTTTTGTTTCTTTCAAGACTAGCTTCCAGGCAAGTCAGTTATTTATATGTTTCAAAACTTTAATATTTAATCTAATTTTCTGTGTGAAAAGTAAAGTGTTAGTACATCATCTGGTTGAGAAATCAATAGCTTAATAATTGTTTCTACTTATATTAGCTGAGCTATATTTTGGGTATTTTTGTAAAATGGGGAAAGCATATGAAATTTGTCTGGTCTTTGAAAAAGTTCAACTCTATCTACTATGAAGTAGTTCAGAGAATTTGCAATTGTTGAAGGTCTACATATTCTTTGAAATATAATATCCAGATGTTCAAAGTACAGCAGTAAATTTACCTTAGAACCATTTGATGGATTGCAATTGTCAGAAGGTTGAATAATTCTTCCTGCAAAAATGAGGCTGCTTACTTCTATCATAGCAATTGAGAAGATGTATTGCACTAATACTAGAATCATCTCAAGTGAAATGTTTAATGTTAAAAACTAGTATGACATTTAAATTTACTGAATTTCTCAAACGGTTTGGCAATTTAAATAGGAAAATATTGGCTATATTATTGAATACAGTAGGAAAGTGCTTCTATGCTTTCGTTAGGAAAAATATTTTTAAAAACTGACAAAAATATGCAGAATAATATACTGCATATACATGATGGTAATAAACTTATTTAGTACTAGCTGTACCCAGCCACGCGTTGCTGTGGCTCAGTCTGGTAAAAGCGTGTGTTGCTTTTACATCCAACAGATGGCGCTGTTTTTCAAAAACATGTTTTTACCTGTCACAGGTGTGACATCTATATAATATAGGTACATAAAAACACGCGCGTATTCGAGTGCAACGTTCTGTGAAAATTTCAAAGCAATCGGTGAAGAACTTTCGGAGATTTAAGATTTTGAACAAACAAACATTTACATTTTTATTTATATAGATTGTGGTTTACTTTTGTTAAACAAGAATAATTGCTTACAATGGTGCATTTTTATTTATCTTAAATATATCCTTTTCATAGCAGTTTTATTTATAACAATTTTATCCTTTTCTTAGCAGTTGATAAACTGTTTTAAAACTGATAATGCATGTCAAAATGCAAGTGAATCTATAAATCTGGATTCACATATCACATGCTAAGTAAAAAAATGGTTGATTTGATTTTGGCTCAGTATGATCTTGTATGAACTTATTGTCAGTAAACCATGATTAATGTGATGTTAAGCCAGCTCTGCCTTTTTTCTTCCTATTGCCTATATTTTGATTCTCAAATATATTTATTTTTATTTATTAAATTAATTTATATTACTACCCATCTCATGAATGTGGTTCTGGGGTGCTAAAAACATGTTAAAAGTAATTTAGGGTAAGTATATATAATGGTCACTGAAGGCAAACCCAGACAAAACAGTTGACAGAAAGCTGTCATATGATATAGGCTGAGAGGAGAGGTCTAGGTAACACTAGTTAAGATACATTTATATATTTTTCTACCAATTTGAAAATCTGTATTAGAAAATATACATAGTGTTATCTATTCACTTTCCCTGGTGAGTTCTTTAAAATATTGTTAGTGTATTTAACTATCTATTTACCTGAATTGATCATACAGGCCAGCTTTTCCTCATAGTCCAAATATGGTGGGTTACAATTTCCAAGAATTCTTACTGCAAATTTTGACTGCTATAGAAGGATACTTGCTAGATTGGGGGAGTTGAGATAAATAAATAAAATGTATAATTGACAGATTATTTTATTCCCATAGTATATTAAACCCATGATAATATTTCTGGAGCATGTTTTGCTTCCATGACATTGACTGCTTTCCTTATTGAGATCTGTCAAAGCTGTATCTTTCTGAAAGTATTAGGCAATTATAGGCAGTCGTGCACTGACATGAGAGAGAAATCTCTATGTTGTATATCTAAATTGATTTTTGTAATTTATTAAATTTCATTTATCAAGCGGTGTGGTAACCTAGAGGTGAAGATGCTCACCTCCCACTCGGAAGGCTGAGAGTTCAACCGTAGGCAGTGGCAGATGTTTATCGGGGCACAAAGAGAAAATATCTGCTGCAAACTCTGTGTAGGCGTCAAGAAAGACTTCTGGCCAGTAAACACTCAGCTCCATTCAGTCACCCAACTCCACCCTGAATAAAGGGATTAAAGGGTCATAAAAAGAAAACAAAATTAAATTGCATTAATATTTTCTTGTTGGTAGCTTTAATTTGTTCTTTAGAGCAATGAATGAAGGTATACTTTGTTATAAAATACTTACATAGTCTAAAACTGTTCATTGTCTTTTCAGGTTTTAAAAAGTGTATTAAAATAAATTGGGAAAAAGGAATAACATAGTTATGATATACATTACTTTGCATTGCAGTATCCTAACTGCCTCATGACCAGCGATATCAATAGGGTAATTAGTATTAACATACAGGTAGTCCTTGACTTATGACCACAATTGAGCCCAACATTTCTTTTGCTGAGCAAGACAGTTGTTAAGTGAGTTTTGCCCCATTTTACAACTTTTTTTGCCACAGTTAAATAAATTACTACAGTTAAGTTAGTAACATTACTGGATTCCCCATTGACTTTGCTTCTCAAAAAGTCGCAAAAGATGATCACTTGGCCCCAGGACACTGCAACGGTCATAAATATGCGTCAGTTGCCAAGTGCTTGAATTGTGATTATATGACCATGAAAATGCTGCAGTGGTTGTAAATTTTAAAAATGGTCCTAAATCACTTTTTTCAGTGCCATTGTAACTTTGAATGATCACTAAACAAACTGTTGTAAATCGAGGACTACCTGTTGTCTGTAATAATCCTATTGCATGTGTTTAATGTAGAACTTAAATAGAAGGCTAAACAACTTTCCATTTACTTCCATTTATTTCAAAGCCATAAAGGCCTGGTCTAAGAAGGTAACAAATGAATGGTTAATTATTAAGGAAGTAGAATTAGCAGATAGCAAAAAGAAAGGGAGGGAAGAAGGGAGGAAAAAAGGAAAGAAGAGACATTGTAGATTTTGTAGATTTGAGCTCTGATTTAACCATTACATATATCATTGCTATTGTTTAAAAATATTTTTTCCCAAATTTGAAAGCCCAATTTGAAAGTAAATATATTTTGGGTTGAATTAAGTGACTGAATCTATGTAATCTTATTGGCAACATTATAGAAGTTTACTATTGTTGTCTTTTGAGATGTTTTAAATTGTTTTATTTAACTGATTGTTTTATTTAACTAACTTGATATCTGACACAAACTAGGCTTCTTACTTACAGTACATATACTTATCTTCTATTTTGGAAAAGTTCGGAAAGTTAACCTTTTGGTACAGAAAAGGATAGATTCAATAGGATTAATATCACAGTGACTTCAGATTATAACTGATACTTTATGGAGAGCGAAATGGATTTTGGGGTCAAGCAAAAACATTTAGCTTAGGTACATCTTCCAGAAAAACAAATGCTAAGATCAAATATATTCAATTAAATGCCAGGAAACTCAGATATAAAGAAAGTTGAATTGAGTAACAAGATAGTGAAAGTGTTAACAGCAAGAATGCTAACTAGAGTAGCTAAGAAATAACAAATATTACTGGAAACTAATGGCTAGCTTTAGATTGTGGCTAGAAGAATATCATGGTTTCAGATATAGCCCTTTGTTTCAATTCAAAGATGACATATTTGCTCATTAGCTCACATATCTAACCATATTATTACATGCATATGCTTAAGTCAATAAATAATTAAAAACCCATTAATTGCATACATCTATAAAGAGGGTTATAACTCTTCCTCTTTAGACTTGTCTTTGCCTCAGTAACTATTAGTATCTTCAATGAAGGTATGCTGGTCTCTGATTTAAACAAATTCAAAAATTTTCCTACAGGAGTTTTATTAGAGAGAGAGGATTTATCAGTAAGTTTACTTGAAATGCCTTTAATAGGTGGAAACCTAATGTTTAATCAAAGTTCTTTGAATTAGGAAATCAAAATGTCTTTGTTTATATCTTCATAAATTATATCATTCTTTCTCTAGTGGAGGTTAATCTGGTTTACTTGTAGTTGAAACTAAATTAGGAAATGTAATATGATGCTAGTTTGCAAAGTAGATAAGTTATTTTGTAAATGTTGTTATAGTTAATAGATTTTTAAGCAAGCACATTGACATTTTGGTCAATAATGTTTCCTCTTCATTCTTCTACTATTATTAAGAATTATGGGTTTGTCCATTCTTCTATTAGTAAATGCTTAGATAGCATTCTAATAGTGGTTATGAGAACTTTCTCATTGAAATTTCAAATCGGATATAAAATCCAGGCATAACATTATTACTGCCTATTATTTATTATGTATCATAGGCATGTGTACTTTATAACCTCAGGAATTAATTTTTTTCTTCTTTACAGGTCAGTTTCTTTCTTAAAGGAAAAATGCATACACAAAAGTTTGAGTGGCAGTATTTCATCTTTAGATTGCTGATACTTTTGATATATGTTGTAAGTAGATAAACATTTTTCTTATGTATTATATGTCATATTGGTAAATATTCTTGCACTCAAAAAACTAAATAATTAGGTAGTTGGTTTATGACTGCAAACCAGTATGTGAAGCACTATAAAGTTTGTATTATTTGTTTGTATTGTTTTCTTACACTGCAGCAAGGGAACTACTCTTTTATAAATGTTGACTTACTGACCAGATGTCATTATATACTATATCAGATTAATCTGATCAATATCAAGTTGTTTAACACAAGTTGGCATTAACCTAAAGACAGCTAAGTTAATATATATTTATCTTACTGTAATAATAGAACATCTGTCTATCCCCAGGTCCTTGGGAAGGACTTGATGGATTGAAAAAAGTGCCAGGTCCAATTTAAACATCTGGCTGACTGTGTGACAAATAGTAGTAATAATAATGGTGCATCTGGCTGACTGCAACAAACCATAATAACATTGTACTGGGATATTTACAAAAAATACTATTTGTCTGCAAGCAAGTACTGGTGGGACCAAAACATGACAAAGTAATAGAAAATGCAGAAGCTAAAATGTCATGGGACATCAGAATTCATAATACTGCAGAATTAACAACTGTTGATAAGAAAGACAAAAAACATGGTAATACCTGGACATTTCAGGAGAGAAGAGAAAGAACTGAAGAAAATCACAAAATACAAAAATCTGCAAATAAAAGTAAAATGACTATGGCAAAAGAAAGCAAAGACAGTGCCAATAGTACTTGCGTGCAATCTCAAAACATCTAGAGCACAACTTCAATACTATTGCCATTGACAGAAATTACATCAATCAGCAGTTCCAAGTACATTTCTGTTGCTATGTATTTTCTTGGGAGCAAATTCTGAGCATGTATAGGACTATTCTTCAAAGATTCATTCCTTTAATAACGTAATCTTAACAGCCTCCCTCTTGTTTGTAGTTAAATGTTATAATTTGTGAAACTGGAGAGTGCAGAGAGCAGGAGTACAGAGATCATGACGGAAACTGTATATTGTGTGAACAGTGTGGCCCTGGAATGGAATTATCTAAGGTATGTTCGTATAAAATTCTGAACATTATTCTCTTGATTTTTCAAATATGATATTACTAAATATATTTCTCTACTACACATAGCACTGAAAGAGCACTTATAAATTAACTATTTTGGAAGTTGCAATATTATTTACTAGAGAATTTTTTTTCATTCTTTTATTCATACATACATATTTTTTTATTTCTATGGCCGCCCATCTCACTTAAGCCAATGCAGGGCCACAGCATAGGCTAATTGTGCTCATGATGTCCCATAGAAATTAATGCACAGGTTGCTGCATTTTCCAGCAATTAAAGGCAGCCTCATTTAGTGTACATTGTAATAGGTGAGACATGATCATGCTTCTATTTCATTTAAGGCTGAAGCTGGACCAGCTGGTCATGGTTTCTATTTGCCAATTGAGTAGTACCTAGCAATCCAGGAGGATCTCCAGATCATGGGTCCTGTCTCTTAGTATCACTTCCTGGAAATACAATATATGAGTAGGTAGAGAATCTCAGTGGACAAACAACAACTCTATTTTGCTTGAGTTTAGTTTCACTTGTTTTGTCTCATTCAGATTCTAATTATCTTCAGATATCGAATCAAAACATTGACCACACTGTCAGACTGTGATGTACATTTGGATATGATCAACAATTTGCTGATATTGCACCCCATACTGATAGATGCTTCTCCCAGTGGCTTCATATAGGGTAAAAAGAACTGAGCCCTGTAGCACTGCATAAGTAACAGGACACCAGACTGATATTTCTTTCTCTATATTCAACCGGGTCTGCCTATATGATAATTGTCTAGCAATAGATTATTTTTATTTATTGTGCAAATTTATTTTCCCTTCTTGTAAACAGCTATTAGGAAGCATTTTTTAGAGAAACTAGGGTTATTTTAATATATTTTTTTAAGTTTTCCCACTTTTTTACTTGATAGAATTTTATGCTGCTATTATATTTTCTGATATTTTGTTTGGTTATGTACAATTGTCAAGTATTTTTATGTGAGCCCCCATATATTGCAGAATATTATATTATATTAAATTAGATATTTTGCACTACATTTAACATTATGTTTAATTCTATAGCTTTTTCTATTGTTTATATAAAATAATCATTGTAAGCATTTTTGTTGATCATATACTGTATACTTTCAGCTTAGCTCAACAAGTTTATATTAAAATTATTTTTCTGATGTTCATATAATTGCTTGAAGGACTTCATAGGCTAGCTTCTAAATTTTGATATTGTTGGCATAGTTTAAAAATGGACATGTCAGCAATTTCCATAAGATTATAATAATGTAGCAGTGGGAATCCACTGAGTCCCATTTTCATTCAAATACTAGAAGTTTTTCAGATAAAGTGGATAAGTTAGTATTTCTTATAAAAGTAAAGGAGATTATTAACAATGGACAGCACATTAGGAACTGCTGAGATGATTATTTTATCTCTAGAAAGTTTTTATTTTCAGAAATAATTACACTGAGACCTCGTTTCATCTTTGTCATTTCCCATTATTCATGTCTCTTAAGTGTCACAGTAGTGTTTGTTAATCCCACAGGAATGCGGTTTTGGATACGGCGAGGATGCCCAGTGCATGACATGCAGGCCAAACAGATTCAAAGAGGATCGGGGCTTTCAGAAATGCAAACAATGTTTGGACTGTGCTTCAGTAAATCGATTTCAGAAAAGCAATTGTTCTGCCATTAGCAATGCTGTTTGTGGAGACTGCTTGCCTGGGTAAGTTATAGAAGGAATTATGAAGAACTGTAAATAATTTATATTCTTGGTTTTAGCTGGCTCTACTACTTGAAATTGTTCAATTGCTTCTGTACTCTGCAGTGAAAACTTGCTTTAATTGTTTATATTGAGAGGACGGAATGTTTGTTGTTTCCAAATATTATGAATATTTATATTAATAGTAAATACATTTATTTTTTATTAAATGATGAAGTTTACATCATTATACAATTTAATTATACAACTGATGTTAATTGATATGTAAAATTGTCCACTGGATATTAAGTCTATTACATCAAAGTCTGCTAAATTAAGATTTTCCTCCTACCATCTCTTCCAGATGTGATAGGTGATTATGTACTGAAGCCTTGCTTTTAGGGCGTTCTAATGAAAAGCCCCAATCCAGCCTCTGGAGGCACGTGGAAGCGTCCCCAAGCTTCAGTTCCGTTCTCTGTTGCAGAGAACAGAGGCCTAAAGTACCATGAGATCACGCGAGATCAGTAGCGTGAGATCTCGCCCCACTGATCTCATGTAATCTTGCGTTACTTTAGGCCTCCATTCTCTGCGAAGGCACCAAAGGCCTGGAGCACCAAGAAAGCGAAGGATCTCGATCTTCGCAGGCTGAATATTGAAGGCCTGGTGCCTAGGGAGACCCAGGTGGGGGAGGGGAGGGAGGGAATAACTAGGGTGAATGTTGCAGAGCCACTGCAGTCACTCATAAGGGCGAACAACTACCATGGTGCTGCAATATTTGTAACTTTGGGACTTGCTCATAAGCACTAGGGGGTGCTCATCACGTAACTTTGAACGAGCGTTAAGTGAATGCTCGTAACTCGGGGATTACCTGTATGTGTAAAGGAGAGATAGAAATACCATAAGCTCTGTTTAGGTGGAAATGTGGAGATCTTAAAAATGGTCAAAGAAGAGTTGCTCACATAGCCTTCCCACCTCCCTGACCTCCCAGTGATGAGTTGGAAATTTGAAAACAGAATTAATTTATGTTGGTTTCAGTTTAACTATAACTCTCAACACGATCTAAGAGTCTAATGAATTAATTTTGCAGATCACATGAAGAATTGCACTAGCATTCAAGCAAATGCAAGTGTAGTTCCCCATCAGATTTCTAATTGAACAGATGAAAGGGCAGAAAGTAGCAGTGAGTAACAACAAGCTATAGTAAAACAAATGATGACAAAATAAAAGTTTCACCAAATTCACCTCAGGATAGTAGGCCAAAGGCTTGAATTTGTGGGGGCAGTGAATCTAAAAAACTGTTTTTTATTTCCCCCAGAATGTGCTGGGTTGCAGTGCTGGATTTCAATGTTATGATTGCCAAAATTTGGCACACTGTTTCCTGCCCTTTTTAGTTAGTTCTGTACAGTACTGTTCACCATATTTAAAAAGAATCTTCAAAAAACTTAGGAAAAAGGAAAATCTTGCCCATTCGTATGCATTTGATATAAATCTGCTCCTTTTTCATTAGTGCTGTGCTCACCACTGCCCTCAATTTTCTGTCCCATAAAGCATTAAATTGGTGTCCTAGCCCATCAGAAGAGTGTCACTACCTGAAACTCTTGCTTAATCTCACCTATTATTTCAATATCATTTTATTGATTTTTATTAGCATAATTCCATATTGAGCTGTTTTTTTCAGATATGAGAAATGTGATATTTGTCTTCTGTCTTCCAGATTTTATAGAAAGACAAAGCTTGGGGGCTTTCAGGATATGGAATGTATTCCTTGTGGTGATCCACCTCCTCCTTATGAACCACACTGTAAGTGCTTCTGATACTAAAATGTTAGAACATTCATGATATAAACTGCATTTTCCTGGTTACTATGAAAACCTGGATAGCCTGGATTGCTATCAGTAAGCAATGTGATCACATGATGTCATATTTTACCACTGTATCATTTAGCAACATCAGTCCCAATCCCCAACTGGTGTTATAGTTCCAGGACTACCTGTATGCCTATAATTATTCTCTGGAGAGCTACAATACATGTAATTCTGAAGAAGCTCCATCCACTTGTGGGATTTGTGAAGCCCCCTTAAAAAAACAGAGCTCCCCAATTCTTGTGAGAAGTACTACTTGCTAGAATAGCACAAGGCTTCCACAAGGCCAGCAATTTGTGCAAGAGAATTGAGCCTTGCGTCACATCAGCCAGGCTTCTCTGCAAAAAACAAAAAAAGATAAGATAGGTACTGCTTGGCCCTGAGTGAAGAGCAGTGTGAGTCCTGCAAGTCCTTTGGATTGCCAGGTGACTGTAAATGCCCTCCATGTGCTGGTCACTTTTGCTCCTTTGCCTGGCTGAATGGCCAACTTGAGAGCAGGATAAGGCCTGGGGTTCCCGAGGGACAGGATGGGATAGGCCTTGGGAGGCCTGGGACAGGTTGGCCTGGGCCTTCACTAGACCTTTAAGGGTCTGCCCCAGCCCTAAGGCACCTGATGCTCCACTTAACAACCTGCACATTAATGGCAGGCTCCATTATGGTCATAAGTTGAGTATTACTGTAATAGCTAATGGGTTACATAGTAAAACAAGAGGTGACAGGTTCAAGAGTTATGCAGTGCAAGGTGAAAGTTTCCTCCTACTGTTCCACATAATCTCTCTCATGAAGTGTTCAGCTGAGGTTATTGCTAATGCATCATGAATCTCCCATGGGTGTGTTATTTGGAACAGCTGACATACATATTGAGGGTTTTCCAGTTTGGGGGGTCAGCTCTTTATTGCACTATGCATAGTTCCCTATGCATCTGTCTGCTATAATAAGTGAGATATTTGCATGATATGGCATGGTTTTCATTTTGTGGCAGCTCTTAAGTCATACTATTTTTAAGCATAATGTAGTACTGTTACTATAATAGCCTGACTAATAGATGTAGGTACAGGAAATACATGAAAGAAGTGATTTTTATGGAAAATGAAGGAGCAAAATTAATGGAATCTACCCATATCTTTATTTAAAACAGGGTCCCCAACTCTGGGACACGGCTCACTACCGTGCCACAGCCTGTTCAGAACCGGATAGCGCAAACGGGCAAGTGCACACATGCAAAGCTCCATTTGTGCTTCGGAACCAGGCCTCACAAGCAGCAGCCGAGCGCATGAAGCTCACGCATGCTGTGGCCAAACACATCTGTGCGCAGCTCCATTTGCATGAGCAGCAGGCACTCACACTCATATGCGAAGTTCCATTTGTGCGAACAGTGGGCAGCACACATGCCACTTGCACAATCGGAGCTGTGCACACTTAAGCACACACCAGCCACTCACATGGAAGCATCTCCTCTCCCCCCGCACCCCCCCAAACCGCCAAGCTGGAAAGTTTGGGGGGGTGCTGATTTAAAACATTCTATTTACATAGTAAATAAGACTGACCAATTTGACATTATTTGTGTGTGATAGGTTAGGGACTGGCAATAAGGGTAATAAATTTTATGTCAATATAGTTTTTTGCTCAACAAAATGTGAAAGCCTTTTAAACAAACTGAGGAAGAGGTATATTAGGTATATAATAAGGTATATAAATAAATTAGGTATATAATAAGGTATATAAATAAATAAATAAATAAATGAAATAAATAAATAAATATTATTAGACTCACAAAACCTCAGTTTTAGCAGAAATGCATATTTTTAAGTGTTTAAATAATTGAAAGAGACATTTTAACAACTCGGTGAAGAGAGGAATATTGTGACAAATAACTTTGCTAATTGGGAGAGTAAAACAGTAGCTCTTCAAACTGAAGGATTTAATGAAAGATCCCATATGGATAACAACAATCAGGACTTAGTAATATGAAACTTATTGCTGTTCTCATCAAGTAGAAATATGTTGCTTGAAGATTTCCCTACATCTGTAGGTAATTATGTGTATTGCTGAATACTGATATTAAGCTGTTTTTATAATACTTTAATACTAGGTGAATTGCCTCACAAATTAACTAATTTATTCCAGTTTTTTGAAACTTTAGCATATTGTAAATAAAACTGTCACAATAATTATGTGGACAAAATTCTAAACGTTTAATAAGCATGTTCAATTTCTTAGAACTTCTCCAAATAAAATATGTACACTGATACACTATATTAAGTGTGTTTTGGCAAATTACTGTTTTTCTCTTGAATGCTAAATTGGCTCTATAAACTGCCCAGGCTAAAATCCTATGATCATATAATGTGATAGCAACATTAATAACGATCAGAGAATGTTGATAGCAGTTGATTATTACCTAGCTAGCTATAAATTTCAGGGCTGCTTTAATCTATTCTCCATCAGTAGACCTTTTAAAACAGAGTTATGGTTTAAATATTTACTCATGAAAAAGCTGGTTGTGGATTGTAAAAAGACCATCAGAAAGTTAAAAAGTTTTTTTAAAAGGGGAATAAAAAGCAAAAGAAGAGAAATCATTCTTGAGTAAACATTTATGATAAACACTGAATTCTGCATTATTCAGTAATAGCAAATAATGCTGTTGCATATGTTGAAATGGAATCAAGAACAAATAAATCTGCAGAAATTAAATGAAGCACTTCTGAATACTGTATTCTGGATATAATGTACTGGATTTTCAGAAATTTGAAGGCCTGGAAAAAAAAGCATGTAAATAAATTTTAGTTATAGATTTAGAATAAAAAAGTAAAATATATGAATCAGCATGAAGTACAGGTAGTCCTTGAATTATGATCACAATTAGGATCGGAACTTCCATCACTAAGTTAAGTGGTTGTTAAGTAAGTCATGGCCAATTTTAGAATCTTTTTTATTACATTCATTAAGCAAATCACTGTGGTGATTAAGTGAATCAAATGGTCAATAGACAAAACTGGCTTCCCTGATTGACTTTGCTTGTCAGAAGCCAACTGGGAAGGTCACAAATGGCAATTATATGATCCTGGGACGCTGTAACCATTATAAATACATGCTGATTGCCAAGCAGCCAAATGTAGATTATGTGATCATGGGAAAGATGCAACAATTGTGAGGACCATTGGTAAATCACTTTTTTCAATGCTGTCATAACTTTAAATGGTTGCTAAACGAATGGTTGTAAGTTGAGGACTACCTGTATATTTACGATTACTATTTCAGGAGAATAATAAGTTTTAGCTCTTGTGAAAATGCAATTTAAATCACTGCTAAGACTTTTTATTTTTTATTTTATTTGCCTCAACAAATTTTACAAAAAACAATAAAACAGAAAATACTTTAAATTCTGAATCAGCAACTAACTTAAAAAAATACCAAAACAACAAAAGGGAAACTAATTATACTGTATATATCACATATTCATCAACTGTCAAACTAGTTTCTAATACTATATTTAAAAAAAACATGACTCTTTAACATTATCAAATATAACATTTATGCCAAAACAGCACATATTGAGTCTTTTTTATCACTAGATAAAGTAGCTAGATGAAATATGGAAAATGTATTTCTACATTTGGAAGATGCATACGCCTAAAAACAGCCTTTCAAGAATGGAGTAGTTATTTTAAATCAGGAGGATTCATAATAAGATTTAAAGTAATTTTCCATTTACATTTTGTCTCAATAGTAATTTGTCTTCTTCATGTCCAGACAAAGTGGTAATGCCTAGAGTAGACTGTCTGGTCCCTCAGAGCCAATAGGCAGAAAGATAGTTCAAGGGATATTACAGACGAAATACTGTACTGCACTTGTATAATAAATACAAATTTATTAAAAACATAACTATTTTTCTACTCTTTATAACAGAGAATCTAAAACTGTGATATTGAAGGCATTCTCATATTACTTTTAACCTCGCGTACGGCTATAGAGGCAGATGCCAACTCAGTATACACTAAGATATTGATTAAAGGAATTGAACTGCTTCTTTGCTGACCATAATTTGGCCCTTAAACATTTGTTTAATAAATTCTGTTCCAGGATCTTCTTATGTTCCCTCTGTTCCTGGTTTTATTTTTCAAGGAAATGGGATGGGAATCGTTATTTCATTTTTTTACCACAAATATTGATTGCAGTATATTATATGAAACAAAACAAGTTTCTAGACATACTTAATGAACTGTGTCTCGGTATTGATTATACCAGCATTTCTTTTATGAAGTCCTGGTTCACCCCTGGCCAGTTTTTTTAAAATATCAAAATTAGTTTATTCTCTACACAAAAAAATGACATTTGGGCATATTCAGCAAGACTAACCTTTTAAAAGCTGTATTTTTAAACTGTTGACTCCAGTAGTCAAATATACTTTTTACTTACCTTATTGCTATCCAGGCTCATAAGTTGGAGATACCCTCCTATGGTTGAACTTGCTAGCTAATTTAAGAGATATTGTTTAATCAATCTCTGCTTATAATTTATTTTAAGATGCTTCTTGGTGGTTTTTTTTCTTTAACTGGGCGTCCTTTCTGAACAAACACCTAATGAGTAAAACTCAGGGTTCATTATTCCATTACACAAATCAAATATTTTGCATTTTTAGCATTTGTTTATCAACTATAGAAAAGTTGGTGTAGAGAAAAAATAATGCTCTTTCTCCAGTACAGGAGATGGAGAATCCACCGATGGGTTTTCTCTGTTTATCAACTATAGAAAAGTTGGTGTAGAGAAAAAATAATGCTCTTTTTAATCAAGTCATAAGATAGATCATTTTTATTATTTCTGTTTTGAGTTTGCATTTACTTTTTATAAGTTGTCTTGGAACGCACCAATCTCTGATCAGCTGTTCTGCAGCTAGCAGTATGGCAGTGGCAATGAAGCTGGCATATAGCCATACTGGCCATGTGACCACAGAAATTATCTTCAGACAATGCTGGCTCCCTCAGCCAAGAAACGGAGATGAGCACTGCATCCTAGTCCGATACAACTGGACAGGAAAACCTTTACCTTTAAGTTCCATGGGAATATTCACCTGTTTTTTCTCCCTTTCTACCTGCCTAGTTATGCTGAATGGTTATAAAGCAAGTATGTTTTGTGTGGGCCTCCTGTTCTCTCTTGAAAAATCATGGAGCTGCACTTCCTTGTTAAATAATAATAATAATAATAATAATAATAATAATAAAAATAAATAAATAAATAAAAAAATAAAAAAGTTGGAAGGGACCTTGTAGGTCATCGAGTCCAACCCCCTGCCCAGGCAGGAACCCTACACCATTTCAGACAAACGGCTGTCCAGTCTCTTCTTAAAAACTTCCAGTGTTGGAGCATTCACCACTTCTGGAGGCAGGTTGTTCCATTGGTTAATTGTTCTAACTGTCAGGAAGTTTCTCCTTAGTCGATTCAACGAAGAGAGGAACTAGTCAAAGGTGGGCAACGAAGAGCAGGACGGAAGTCCTGTTCAATTTACCCCTACACTCTATGACACTCTAAAGAATAAGGAATGTCAATGGATAACACGTGTAGACGTGGTCACACACGTGTGGTGACTTCCTTCTCGACTTGTGGTATGTTTCTGTCTAACATATTTATTAGAGACAAGTTAAGCTTTATTCTCTGGAGAGAGGAAAGAAAGTGTTAATTTCAGCCATGAGATTTGATAATTTCAGTATTTCTCTTAACCAGTTTTTTTTTACACAAGTTAATACTAGAACCAGTCTTTCATCTTTTGAGTCAATCCCATAATTAGGATCCTTCTTTGCCAAGGGCTGAATGAGTGTTTATTTTACATATAGGATGTCTGCAAGATATTTAACTTAATCATTACTTTTTATTAACAAAGAAATAGCTGCTTAGTTATCAGATTTAAGTGAACTTGAAATTCCTGAGAGGGAATGGTGTATAGATAATGATTAACTTATACTGAATGGATTCTCTTATATATTTATTAAAACAGCTAACTCTTAAGGACAGTGAAAGCATTTACACCTGATATTAATTACTAACTAAACATTTGGCTACAGCTCATTAAACTACTAGATTACAGGAATGTGATCTGTATATGCTTTGGTGGCCTTATTAGTTTTGCTCAGAATTTATTGACACACAAAATTTGTTAACAGATAATGAAAATAGACTTCAGTAATTCATTTTTGTTCCATTTGAGAAAATAGAATACTTTTTAAAAAAACCCATTCTACTCAAGATGTAAACAATCAAGTAATTTAGGTTATAACCAGAAGATCAATTTATAAGCGATAACAAGCATTGCTTACATTCCTTATGTCCTCACCTCCCAGAAAATTAGATAAAGGATGAAATATTGTTTATCATATTTGCATTTAAGTGTACTCTTCCTTTTCTGCTGTGTTGGCCATTCAATATGCCACTGTGTTGATTGTGCACACAATAAAAGTGAAACTTACAACCCATTTCTTGAACTAGTGTAACAAACAGAGCAATCTGAAAGGCTCTGTAGATGAACAAACTTCTAGCAATAGAGGAATAAATTAAAATAGAAGGTATTTGGAATATATGAATGTACCATAGTGGGGTAAATTGCCTTTTCAGAAATAATAAGGGGGCAAGAAAAGAAAACACTGTGCTAGTGGCTACAGGACAAAAGAGTGGGCCCAGAATATTTTGTATTTAGCATTCAATGTCTATCGAATGACATGAAATGACAGTTGAAAACCTATCAAATAAGCAAAAGCTCCATTGTGGGATTGCCACAGTTGATAGCCGATGTAAAGTCAGTAAATAGTCAGTTGCCAAGCATCTGAATTTTGATCATGTGACCATGGGGATGCTACAATGATCGTAAGTATGAAAAATAAGTCACTTTTTTTCAGTGCTGTTGTAATTTTGGTCACTAAATGAACTGTTTGTTTTCTCCAAATATAAAACTTTATTCTCCCCCATGTAAAGTGATAGTAAGTAAATAGGAGAGAGCATAATGAAAACTGTTTGATTTTTTTTCTACTAAATATATTTTGGAAATTTGAAGTAACATTATTTACATGTTAGAGCAGCCTTTGCCTTCCAGATTCATTAGACTTCAGCTGCTATAATGCAATTGGAGTCCAACATATCTAGGTCCCAGATTAAAGAAATATTGTTGAAATGTATGGAGATACTTTGTCAGTGTTTGGTCTTTTAACTGGCCATTATGTCTTTACATATAATTTTTCAGCAAATTATACGCTTTTAGTTTTGTCTAGACCAACTTGTGGTAATAGATTTAACATTTTTCAGAAGCTAATAAGTTGGAACAGTTTCTTTTAATCTTTTATTACATTAAATATTTGTGGATGTTTGTAGATGAAGCCAGTGATTTTTATGCAATTCCATAAATATGGCAATCTATAGTTGTTGAATAATCAATTGTAGCGTTATAAGCATTAAATGCTTTATATCATTTGTTGCATTAGATATACTGTACATTCTTTGGGGGGGTTTTTGGATTACAGACAGATTATACTTTTTTCTCAGATAAACAGGTTTTGTAGATTTCTGTAATTTTAAAAAAACATATTTGAGTACAGATAATTATAATCTATAGATGTTCATAATTCCTAAAGAATGCATATAGTGATAGGCTCTGCCTTTGCATTTTGTTTACTATAATGTGTAGAAAGCCATTGTATGCATGTATTATATAAAAAACATATATAGTATAGACCCATTTTGAGATAGCTCCCATATTTCTTGGCCTATACCAGGGGTAGGCAACCTTGGTTCTTTTATGACTCGTGGACTTCAACTCCCAGAATTCCTGAGCCAGTATGGCTGGCTCAGGAATTTTGGGAGTTGAAGTCCATGAGTCATAAAAGAGTCAAGATTGCCTATCCCTGGCCTATACAAACATTTAATGTATCCCCATTAATGATAAACAAGGCTAATCAGACAAAAAATAAGGTTCCCAAAATATTTTAAAAAGTCTTTAATGTATTATTAAATTTTCCTAACTGTTACGTATTTGATATACAATATTTGGGGAAATTGGTGAAAATTGCTTCTCTTTTCATAAGACTAGTTAATTACTATAGTACCACTTCTTGGAAGACTGGATTTTATCCATTGTATTTAATATACCTTCAGTTGATACTTGTTGACTCTGTTTTTAATGAATTTTGGACAGATTGAGCAGTAGATAGATTCTTTGACCTTGTTTAAATGGTCTCAGAGCATAGCATAAAATTAATGGAGGAGCTTATTGGTGTCCCTTTGATGATATTAATAGGTCTGGATTGCTGTTCTTTATCCACTTATGAAACAGTAATAGAAAACAATTTCACCTGATACTCCGTATAAGAATTAGTTTCAATAAACATGTTTACAGTATATAGCTTGCTGGCAAAATTACAATTTCACCATATCAAGCAGAGTATTCAGTTCTGGGCACTACAGTTATGATTATTATTTTTTTTAAGAGCAAAGAATAACAGTGGGGAGCATCAAGGGACTGGAAATTAACCGATATGAGAAGAGATTGAAGGAACTGGTTAGGATTTCCTTTGAGAAAAGATAACTGAGAGGAGATCAATAACATTCTTCAAATATCTGAATAGATGCCACAGAGAAGAAGGACAAGAGCTTTCTTCTGTCATCTCAAAGTGTAAAGTGTACAGAATAACAGTTTTATGTTACAAGACAACTCCATTTGAGTGTTAGGGAAAAGCATTTTGCTGTTAAGAGTAGTGAAATGGAATAATGGTAGTAATCACTAAGGATATTTTTCTTTGGTTTCATGCACTTAGTAGGGTTTGACTTCATTGGCCATTTCCAATTCTGTTTGTGCTGTGCAGTGAAAATTCTTTAAATAATTTATCTGTGCCTAAAAAGCTTTGAATTGTTGCTCTTCTCTGCCTATAATCAATAAAAGGTATGCTTTTATTTATATATAGGCACCACAAAAGTGAATTTGGTGAAAATCCCATCCACTGTTTCCAGTCCACGAGACACTGCACTCGCTGCTGTGATATGCAGTGCACTGGCAACTGTACTTTCAGCGCTCTTCATCCTGTGTGTTATCTATTGCAAGAGACAATTCATGGAAAAGAAGCCAAACTGTAAGTTTCTCTCCTCCTACCCCCACCACCACATTTACATTTACTGCTTACCCATGTCTCCTTTATGATGAGTTTTACCACCTAATAAATGTCTGTGCAAAAAAAAAAAAAGATTTATTTGAGCTTAACTAACTGTAAGTTAAGTGTAACCTGGAGTTGATTCAGTTTCCCGAATGTAATTTTGATCAATTACATCAAAGAGGATAAATACGTTTATGTGAATATATTGAATATATACTTGATCGATACCTGTCTTAATTTGCCTGGTATATTGTGAACCATTCAGAAGATCATACAAAAATACATCAAAAATTAATATCCCAAATTCATGTTGCAGTGTGAAAATTGTGAAAGTCAGAAGAAAGGTAGCAGTTAGCTACAGCTACTTTTCAAGCATTGCTATTCAGTTGTATTTAGGTTGTTTTTTGGGGGGGGAACAAATTTTATTGGTTTTTTAATTCTTAAGACAAAGTGCTCAAGACACACCGTGGTGCTGGGGTAATCAAACATCCAAAAACAAAACATATATACATAATTAATCAATACATCAAGTATTCCCTCTCTTTTTCCCTCAAATAGCATAGTATATTTAAAATAATCCAATTCTAGCTTAAATTTATTCAGCCTGGACCTGTTTTTAAAGCTTTATAAATTTACAATACCGTAATCAAATTAACTTTAAATAAAAACATTCAGGTATCCCTTCCAAATATGTTCTAGTTCCTTAATTTTATCATAAATCTTATTTATTTCTTCTTCCACTAATATCCCCTATTTAAAATAAAATATTGATCTATCCTATACATATCTAATCCATCCATCAATCAATCTTTTTAAGCTGACAGAATAATATCAGATCTTAAATCATTTCAATCCATTAGACAGAATTCAAATTTCATCCAGTTAATTATCATAACTAATAACATCCACGTTATCAACAAACATATCATCTTATTAAATTAACTCAATTAATTATTAATTCAATCCAGATCTAAAACATCTCTTCAATTTTCTTCATTCCATTACATAATAATTTTCATATAGATAAACCTCAATTTAATATATATATTCCATTAATCACCCATTTTTCTCTTACTTCTAACTCACAATCTTAGTCCTTAAATCAGTCCATAATTCTAGATTGCCTTTAATCTATTACATAGAAATATCTCCTTTTTAAGCTAAAATATTGATCTATACATATCTAATCCATCAATCAATCTCTTTAAGCTGACAAGATAATATCAAACCTTAAATCATTTCAATCCATTGGGCAGAATTCAAATTTCAACCAGTTAGTTATCATAGCTAATAACAACCATGTTATCAAACAAACAAATCATCTTATTAGATTAACATTCAAATAATTATTAATTCAATCCAAGTCTAATACATCTCTTCAATTTTCTTCCTTCCATTACATAGTAATTTTCATATAGATAAATCTATCATTCCAAAAGATACATTCTTAGTCAATTTAATATATATCTTCCATTAATCCATCAATTTTTCTCTTACTTCTAATTCATAATCTTAGTCCTTAAATCAATCCATAATTCTAGATTGCCTTTGATCCATTACATAAAATTTTAAATTTCACTTTTCAATCTTATTCTAGCCTTCTTCTTATGCCGGGCAGGTTTCCATAGCAGGGCTTCCCTTCCAGCTGACAAATCTCTCTTTGTTGCTTGTAATATCATTTGATTCGATGAAAACCATCTTGGCCTCTGCACTGGCCCTCTGTTTCTCTTATCCATAAAGCCTCGTTGCTTTAAAAGTTCAAATCTCAGTCTTTGCTTTTCTTGGTCCTCAAAGCCATAAGTGAACTGCTTATAAGGCAAAATAAATTTCTCTTTATTCTCAGTTAAGTCCTCTTCTTGTATAATCTGTTTTGTAAAATAGTCCGGTGTAATCTGAGAGTCAGTTTTGAAGTTTAAGGTAGAGATTCCGGCTCTTAATTCTGTAGTAAACTCTTTCATTGTAGCACATATTTCTTCTTTAGCCTCATAGATCTTTTCCAGTATAAATTTACAATTTAAATGTGAGTGCGGCTTCTCCATTTTAGCAATAGTTGAAGAGAAATCCTTTTTTTTCTTTTGGTGGAGGCTATAGCTAATAACAGTTGAAGAATATCCACCCCCACAATTCCCACAGCTAGATCAAGTTATCTTTTCTCTTGAAAAATAGTTTGAAGGCCAAAACCATCTCATCTCCAAATAGTCAACAATTACAATATTAACTTTTAACCAGTAGATGTCCTCAGTAAGCTAAGAAGTCTTTTTCAAATGCCATTTTTTTCCTTTTTTCTATTTTTTAAGGAAAGAGTGGAACAAGAAATACTCTTCCAATATAAGATAATAATACCGCTCCCCAAAAACAATTTTTTCTGTACCTCAATGTGAATAAAGATAGAGTATAGTCTTTAAAAAAATTTATTCTGTCCTTTTATACAATGCCTTTGTTCCCACGCATACAAAATCCGCTTTATCAAAACGGGGAGATAATTCCAACGAAGCTTTTACAGGCAAAAACAGCATAGGGTGAAGAGAGGAACAAAAGGGGTCTCACCCGGATCATTCGCGGTGGATCTATTACGCTTAGATGTAAGTGTGATTTTCGGCTGGTGCAGCAGGGTAATCGGCCATCTTGCAGGACGATCTTTGCTTCGTCGGCCCTAAGGAGATAGCTGGAGTCACGGGAGAAGCTGCCACCCTCCCATATATACCAGCAAGCCTCCTCCTCGGTGGTCGCCCTTCCAGGGCGACTTTCGACCCCCTAGGGGTCTACCAGCGAAGGAAAATCCGGACGGTGCGGAGACAAGTCTCCAGACACAACTGGCGTTGCCGCGTACCGGAACCGGAAGTCGTATTTAGATTTTTTTAGTAAGGAAATTATGGACAAGAAATAGATATATTATTCAGAATTATGGATTATTGTAAACCCTTAACAACAATTTAGGCTCTTGTGGGAACTTCAGATATCTTCTGTCAAGTATTTCTAATTGTTTTTCTTAATAATGAGGGTCAAGAATGTAGATCATGTTGAAATAGGCATAAAGCAACAAGATCCAAGAAAGTGGTTTAATTCATATTATGCAAAAACTTTTATAATAAGTGCTCTAAGTTAAATGACAGTGTAATGTTACCAGATATGTTTATAGAATAATTTAAATATAAATAAAATGGGTTAACACCCAGTGTCAATATCTCCTCTGTTCTAAAGGGTCTGTACAATCACAGGATGTTCATTATGAAGGTTCAGAACTTGCATGTTTTGATACATCACAGCTTAATATATATGAACATAAAACATGCTGCCAGGGCCAGCAAGATTCATTACAGATGTGTGGTAAGTATGATCTCAAATTAATTGCTGGGTTAGTCTAAGTAGGAGAAACATAGTGAAGCTGAAATTTGAATAAAGCATATAAAAGTAACTATGGATATGCAAGATGTTACACTAACATAGAGTCCATTAAACAATAGGGCTAGAGTGATAGAATTACTAGCATTTAGTAATATAAAGCAAATCAAAATTAAAAATATAACTATATAAATGTTTCTATGACTAAAACTTTATATGAAGGCTAAATGCAACACCACCATTGCAAAGGCTAAATGTGTTATGAAGATTTTGTGTAAGAGCAGATATGAGCCCTATGCTATGGCATTCTCAAACATATGATTGTTGTGTCGAACACAATCCCATACGATCATCCCTCACTTGCCCCTCTCTCCAAAGTGGGTGGATGATGGATTGTTTGACTAGGCATTAAATTCTAATGGGACCTAAACAACTCCTTTTGTTGTTGATATTTTCTTGTATAACAGAGAGGCGAGAGCCAGAGGCCAACAGCTGTTCTTCACTATGTGTTGACTATACACTATGGGATATGTGAACGAGCTCATAGTCTCAACAAGTATAAATTATTTGCATTTCTAGAAAAAATATGCACTTTGTTTCTTATTTAAGCTTTTCTTTTTTCAAGGCCCAGTGCACTTGATTCCATCATTATGCTGTGACGAGTCCTGTAGCTTTGAACATAGTTGTCATAGCTGTCCTTTTCACTCTCAGTCTACGCTTCATGAAAGGTACTTCAGGTTTTAAATTTCTGCCTTTTGCTAACTTTTCTACTGAATATTTATTTGTCCTTATTACATGATGCATTGGAGTATATTCTATAGAGTTTTCAGTCAAGGGAATAGACTTTTCTGACAGATTCAGTCACTAATTGGAAAGGGAAAGGGGACTGTGCAATATGCAGGCAAAAACCAATTTAAGTAAATGAGAGTTAGCCCATTTATCCCAGCAGAATAAATTGATGACTTTGAGCTATTGGACAGATGTTTAGTAGCAATTTCCAAAAAGTTAATTTTTATGACCATATCATATAACTTTCATTCAAAAGATAATCTAAATGAATTTGACTAGTTTTCATTGACAAAATTGTAAGACATAGGATTATACGCACACTACTTGAACACATACAAAATCTATTCATTTTATGCTTTGAAAATCTTGTGGGAATTCATTGTTGCTGTATGCATGCAGGATTATATATATTGATTTTAAAAGTAACACTACTGATAATTCAGGTTATATGCCTATTTCCTGATTTTCATGCTGAAAAATATGAGTAGTTTACTCATGGGAGTGATGCAGATATGTTATCTTAAAATAAGATTTATCTCTCATCTTTGTATTCTATCAAAGATAAGGGTATGTCTACTATGTGTGTCTTTTCTCTAACTATATTCTACTCTGTACTAGAAACTGTTGTTTTTAAAATGTTCAGTTCTGGTGCATTTTGATTAGTATTGAAAAGCATGATTTTGTTTTGCATATTTCCTGCATTTTGATCTTCTCTCCTTCCCCTGTCATTTGCAATAATTGTAACTGACAGCATGATGTAAAATGATATTAAAATGAATCTTTGTTTAATGACTTTTTTCTCAACTTTTTACAGGAATTCTAATTCTGTTGGAGAAATGATTCCAGCATTTCTTGGTTCTCTTTCACATTCCACTTGTGGAGATCTTTCAGATGCTTGGCCTCTCATCCAAAAACCAGGATATTGTGATAGTATTTCTTTCTCTGAATCATACCCTGAACTAGTGGGAGAAGATGAACATCTTTTCAGCCCCTTAGATATAGAAAGAGATGCTGTGGATTCAGATAACAAACAGGATTTAAATGTAGTCACATCTACAAAATCTCATTTTGGAAGCTTGACAGAATCACCTGAACTTTCCAGTATCACTGCTCCCTTAAATCAAGTTTTGGCTGCTGAAACATTCTCAGCAACAGAGTATGACAGAACAAACTGATAAACAGGTAAGCACAGTTATCTAGTAGATAGTTTAAATGAAACTGTTAAGCAGTATTGTCTGTAATAATTATTTTCTTGTTCAGTTAAATGGACATCACAAAGATCCTCTCCTTCATTAATTAATGAAGAAAAAAACAGAAAAGGTGATTTTTAAAACTACTTTTCTGGGTTTGTATTTTGTATAATTTATTTGTTACATTTATATCTTACTACAAATGACTGTCAGGAATTAACTTAACACGGGAAAAGAAGTCTAAAGTATCCATGGTAGGAGACTTCCGGTTTTGCACCCGCAGTGCATGGCCATGCGAAAGCGGACCTCCACTCCCCACAGCTAGTTTCTTCCTGCTTGGGGGACCCTAGATGGGTCTGAAGTTGCCCCGGAGAGGTGACCGTGAAGGAGGAGTACCCCGTTGATCACGAAGTGATGGCAATCACTTCGTTTGATCTGGGGAAAGCCCTCCGAACCCGACAGGAGAAAGGCTAGCGTGAGATCAGCGTCTAGCCCAAGCTGCTTGCAGCCGAAGTCCCAAAGCACGAACCTAAACATTGGTGAACAACATGCTTGGAATTGGTGAGAGTACTGATCTTCTTTCTTCTATTTACTATCTAAATCCTTGAAAAGATCCCCAAAGCAAGAAAACCTCCAGACGTGAAGGGAGGGACTATATCCCCATTCCCTTACAGATGGAAGCGGCGAATTAATATTAAAGGAAGGAAGAAATATATTAAAATTTGATTTAAAATACTTCAGTCTGGACAAATTTAGGAACTAAAAAACTGTCAAGATTATACCCTACAAATTTTTTGATGGAATTATACAAATATATAACAAAAATAACTTTTTGATTGAAAGAAAAACTGAAAAAAGAAATAACTGCTGACATCTAGTCTAGAACACTAACAGTAAGGACTCAGAAATTGGCAGAATGCCTAGAAACAAAGAAAAAGTTGTTCCTTTGAATTGCAAATAAACTTGAAGACAGCTGGGAATAAAGGAAAAGCCAGCTGTAAGATTAAAAATGTTTGAAAGGAAAAAAAAAACCCACCTGGACTTTTGCTTAAATCTAAGAACTGTTTATGGAAAAGAAAAACCTTGGCTTTTTGGGTAATCTTTTAGAGGAGAATCTGTAGGAAGGATTTAAAGTGGCTTTACATACTAAACTGTAATTTTGACTGACTGATAAATTGACTTTTGAATTAAAATATTGATGAAAGATTATTTGAAGGGGGGACACAACATGGATATCACATACGTATCAAAAAATGACAGGATGCCACATTGAATATTTTCTCCTGAAGGACGTAGCCTGGAAAATCAAGGGCCTCCAGAAGCAATACTTCAAGGCAAGATAAATACTTTCCAGGAGGAAATATATGTAAAGCTAGGACAAATACAAATGACAATAGACTCAAACCACAAGGAAATCCGAAACAACTTTGATGATTTAAATAAACATATTTCCAATCTAAATTTACAATTAAAAACACCCAGGAAATAACAACAAAGGGACAAATAAATCAGACAGCAGACTACAAATTAGAAGAGTATGATCAAATTGATGAAACAACAAAGGAAAAGAATTACAATTTGACACAAACAGGAAAAAAATCTTCAAGGTTCTGATATAACAAGAAAAATGGAATTATCAGGAGAACCATCAAAGTTTGGGAGACAGAAAGTATTTATCTTACTTACTTCCTCTTTTGTATTCCCAACAACATTTGTAAAAAAATACAGGAACTGCTGGGTAAGTGGATTACATCAACGTGGAAAATTACTCGGCAAAAGAAGAAGACCAGAGACAGATACAAGAGATTTGACTCGCCCGGAGGATAAACAGGGAAGAAGAAGAAGGAGAAGGAGGCTAATTGTCAGTTGTCCATAGTGTTTCTATTGGCTGCAGAAATGTTTGCCTCTCTGTATTTAGAGCTGTTCCAAATTTGTCATTGGGTTTTGGATGTGTCAAATGGGGTTTAGGATTCTTCAGTCGCTCCTGTTGTAATTTCCACTCTGGGGGTTTCTACCAACTTTGGGGGCTAGCAGGGAGGTGAGAAAAAAGATCCTGTGTTTGATCTTGTCATCTTTCAGTAACTAACGAGATCATCTGAAAATGGAACTGTAACACTGTATGTGTACAACAGCAGTTGTAG